AGGCGGTGGAATGTCAAAGTTGAAAATTGAGATCACAGTTTATTTCTTTCTATCTAGGTTTCTTTCTTTCTTTCTCTCTCTCTTTCTTAATTTCTATCTATAGGAATATAGTGTAGGGAGAAATTTAGAGTAAGGTAGAATTTAGAAATATTGGGTTACAAATATAGTTTAATAAAAAATTAGGATAAGATAAACAACAAGAGAGAGAAACTATGTCCTTGATTTTCCAACTATGGGGCTATGAACACACAATCCTGGGGAAGAATCAGGTAAAAAATTTATCAAAGATGAGAAAAAAATGGGCAGAAAAAGATTCCTATGGAAACTTTTGGCCTGGAGATAGCTTAAAATCAAACCCTGAGAGGCAGAGAAAAGAATTTTCCCTGAGGCGGATTCAGGAGAGATAAAACCCTCTGCTCTGCCAGCAGTGCCTGAGAACACTTTTACAACACCATTCAAACAGAGTCAGTTTCCTCTTGAACATGAAGTCAAAATTTAGAGAACAGAAATTTTGGGAAAGACTTAGTAAAATCTCTCTCTAAAAACTAAAAGCTTTTCAGATTTTTCCTCTTTCTGTATGGGCAAAAATTTAACTCACCTGGAAACAATATCTATTGGTATGGGATAATCACCTGTTATTGCTCTAAGAAAAAAGAAAAAAACCTCTTAGATTATGGCAAATCCTCTCTGCTATTCCTGTCTCCCCTTCGAGCCAGTATTTTAAAAAAGCAGCTAGGAGCAGAGCATTTGCAGATGTATGGAGGAGGCGCGGCTGTTGTAAGATGCTTGGTTGAGCCAGGCTGCAAAAGAGCGTGGGTCCTAAGCCTCGGCAGCAGTATCAGGGACTCTGCATCTTGGGGGAGAGGACAAGCAGGGACAAAAGAGATCTATCAGGGAGAAAATCTTTCTGTAAAAGCTGTTGTTTCAAGGACTTTCATTTTCCTTCACTAACCCAGTAAGGCAGAAGAGCAAGTCTCAAAGGGTCTTTGCTTCTGGCACCAAAACGCCTGTCCAAATATGCACAAGTGGGCCAGCATGACCCTGTTCTAGGGAAAATGTCAAGTGAAGGAAACACATCTATCAATACCAACTCAAGGAGAACAGAAATCTCCCATGAAAAAAAGAGCAAAAACTTGACTCAAAAACCTCCTGTGGTAAAAACAAAAGCACAAAAACAAACCATGTAAGTAGAAATGGAAGTGTGGTGGACCCAAAAGGCATCCTGGGAAATGTAGTTTGAAAAGCAGCTTGAGAAATGTAGTAATAGTATGATACAATAGAGAAAAGCATTCTGGGAAATGTAGTTTTTTTCAGCTCAGAATGGTGGTACTGCCAGAAACTCTGTTGTTTCTGCTTCAAATGTAGTTTCTTTTCCAAGCAATGTTAGAAAGCTTAATCTTACCTCTTGAGAACTAAGAACAGGTGAACAGCTTGCCTTTCTGGAGATAATTAAAGTGCTAATAATGTTTGTCAACAAGCTACTTTGAAATCTTTTAGAAAACAAGGGAAAACAGTCCTTACACTGGGAGATTGCTTTGAGTGTGGCAAAAAAAAAAACAACTTAAGACACAAAAGGGAAACATTGACATCATTAAAAAATGCTCATGGTAATCTTTAAAAGCAGCTTTAAAAAATTAAAAGGAGGGAAAGTTGTACCCTTAGAAAATTGTACCTTAGTTACCAAATGAGGCTTGCTGGCTACCCACAGGAGTCTCATATCAAAGCTGATCATGAACTCCAAACTTAAAAATAAAGCAGTGTTGAGTTCACTTGTAATTTTTACTATATTAACTTATGATTTGTGTACTCTCTCTCTTGTTGAAAGAAAATAAGTTAGTTCTGTTGAGAAATTCTAGTGTAAGTTAGTTCTGTTAAGAGATTTTTTTCTAGATGTCTATAAAATAATTCTATAGAGTTTCCTCTTGAATATAAGTTTAGTAAATAGTTCTAAGAAATCTCTTCTAGATATGTGCTAAAGTTTGTAAAATAGAGTTAGTTTCCTTATGAATATGTTTCTAAAATAGTTCTATAGTTTCCTTTTGAATGTATGTTTGTAAGAAATATAAACAATTATATGTTGAATGTGTTTGTAAAAAGTGTAATAAGTCTAAATGTTTAATGTAAGTTTGTAAAAAGTGTAAATATGTATAGTGATAATAGTTCAGTTAAGAGATCTCTTCTAGATGTTTGCTAAGGTTATAAAGTAGTCTTATAGAATGTAAGTTTATAAGAAGTATAAATACATATAGTGAATAGTCATGCTAGTTGTAATTATGTATAATAATATTCATACTAGAATTATGTTGATATTAATGAACCAGAGTTTGGTGAAGCTAAGGGAATCTTTAGGTTTGATGCAGTTTGCATCAAGAGTTTATTGATTTAAAAAAGGCTTGGCATACCTAAGTCTGTTATAAATATCTTAAGACCCATTCAAAAAAGAACAGTCCATCTTGGTCATCCTCTACTCCTTTACTGGGGGGTGTGGCAGCCTAGGGATTGCTGGGTTGTTCAAACTACTTGCAAGCTCCTGAGTCAGGGTTGAGTTAAGCTCTCTACCCACTCCTGCCAGAGGCTAGTGGTCAGAGATTGGCAACTTTCTTCTTGATAGCTTCCAACCTAAGCCAGAGTATATTTGATGGAAAGTATATCTCCATGACAGGTAAGGAAGATCAATCAAGGTGGACAACATAAGACAGACCCAGTCTATCTCAGAGGCCTAAGGGGCTCTTTAAAAAATTAAGAGGAGGGACCTGTGGGAGCCCACATAGTTTTCCTAGTGAGATCTGAGTTTGCTTTACCCAGGATGACTGCATAAGGGGGTGGAATGACCAAGTGTGTGGTTACCAGGTATTTGGAAGGGTCTGAACTTGGCTGTGCTAGGGGAAGGTCTTTTGCTCCACCCCTTGGCATTCCTTTAAAAAGCCCTTTAGTAGAGACAGAAGGAGCCGGTGGATTAGGATCCAGGCCCTCCCGAGGTTATCCTGTGTTTCTATCTGTCTCTCTCCCATCTATATTTCTATCTAAATCTCTTATCCCTCACTCCTCAAAAGTACCCTGGGGAAAAAAGGTGGGGGCAGGCCCCCCACAAGAACCTAGAGCAGAAACTGAAGTAGTGACCTCAAAGGAAGGCTGCTTACTGCCTTGCTTCTAAGTTCACATTTCATTTGTTTGTTTTGAGACATGGTATCTCTATGTAGCCTTGGCTGGCCTTAAATTCATGAAGATCATTTGCTTCTGCCTTTCCAGTACTGGGATTGAAGGCATGCAGCACCAGGCTCCACTACCCTTTTTTAGACAGCCCAGGTCCAACTGACTAGAAATGGTGGCACCTACAGTGGGCTAGGCCCTACTACATCAATTAGCAATAAGGAAAGTGCACCATAGTCATGTCACAGGCCAATGTGACAGCGGCAATTCCTCAACTAAGGTTCCCTCTTCTCAGGGGACTCTAAACTTATGTCAAGTTTACAGCTGAACCTAACTATGACACCTTCTGACCCTCTCCTGGAAGACAAGTTTAAAAGTCTGCCATCTAGCCATGCTTAGGTGCTCTGGTGACAACTGCCCATCCTGAAGTATATAGGGACCAAAGCCACTAGTTACCTCATTAGCACATATCAGACTCTCATCTGCCTAGAAATTCCACACGTTTTAGGATCTATATGCCCAGGACTGGGGACAAGGACCAAATACATTTTCCTTTTTAATCACAACTTTGTACAAAGCTCTCCTCAAACTAGCAGGCCAATAAAAGAGACACTGAAGAAACTCCCAAGCAAAACCTACATCTTCACTATGAAAAATATCCACCAGGAAGAGGTGATCACCAGTTAAGGGTCATTACAGGGTGGTGAAAATCCACATGTATAACTCAAGTATTCATGGAGTAACCAAAACATTTCCAGAGTCACAAATGTCTACAACTAGGGACCTGGTGACTATAATGTCTAAGATACTAACACAAATTCAGAAGATAACATTATTTTATGGAGAGAGATACTTCAATAGTTTTAAAATCTGGGTCAAAATTATCAAAAAGACTTTAATAAAAAGGCCTAACTGTAACTGGTTATGACCTTAATGGACAGCAGAAGACAGTCCTTTATACTTTCTTAATGTGCATGCAGAGTAGAACACCATTCAGTGTTGATTTTCTCATAACCCTAAGCAACACTAAATTTTGAGAGGAAAAATATTCTTTCCTAGAGCAAGTAGATTTCCTGAAGGAAACTGCTACAGAAGGTGAGTCCTGCTCAAAACACTGTGACTCAAATGACAAGCAACTTACTTGCAATATTACAGTAAGTTCCAGACACAATCCCCATCGCAAGAAAGTGTCTCCCAGGGCTGGAGAGATGGCTCAGTGGTTAAGAGCACTGACTGCTCCTCCAGAGGACCTGGGTTCAATTCCAAGCACCCACATGACAGCTCACAACTGTCTGTAACTCCAGTTTCAGGGAACCCGAAACTTCCAAAACACTAATGCACATAAAATTTAAAAAAAGCCGGGCAGTGGTGCTGCACTCGGGAGGCAGAGGCAGGTGGATCTCTGTGAGTTCAGGGCTAGCCTGGTCTACAAAGCAAGTTCCAAGAAAGGCACAAAGCTACACAAAGAAACCCTGTCTCGGGGGAAAAAAAAAAAAGCATCTCCCACATTACCACAAAGACAACACAACATCAAGAGGCACAGTCCTACTTCCCAATGTGTCAAGTACTGTAGGGAGGCTCATAGAACACAGGTTAGCACTTTACTGAACGGAAGAGGAAACCTGAGGAATTTCTCTATAACCGTCATGGTAATTTTTGGTTACCACCAATGCCCTTTGCATAAAAGAAAAATAATCCTAACTTGCTGAATTCTAAATAACACATTCATTCACATAGCTTGTTTTACATTCACTTACCCCATCAGCTGGAAAGAAACATAATTAAAATATAATTCCCTATTTAATTTCCATTTAAACATTTAAAAGAAGTGCAAGGAAAAATACTCTTACCGTTCTAGAATCTGAGAAAGGGTTATATTCATCAAGGCCTGGTGGCACATTTCTGGTCACCTGTGTAACGGATGGGTCCTAGAATAAAATTTGAAAAAAAAATATACATATATATAGGTTATCTATTAAGACACAATTTGATATTTACACGGTATTTGCTTTATCTGAACCTTTGGTCACTCAGCAAAACAGTGCAAACTTACAGTACTGTCAAATGTATTCCACATTTCAACAACGGTAATGTTTAAACCCACAGCCCTCACACCCTCAAAGAAAAACAAATACACCTTGGGCTTGACGCACGACAGCTGCTATTCTGTCTATAATGACTGAAGCAGGTCCCTCTTACTGCTGTGAGGTGCTGACTGCCTAAGTCGCTCAGATTAAACCCACCATCTTTAAGACTCACCCAAGTGAGTGCATACCTCTTACCTCCTTATGACACAGGGTCTTGCTCTGTAGTCCAGGCTGGCTTCGAACTCTGAGTGCTAGTCATTATATTCATAAGCCACCATACCTAGCTTCATGGTCTCCTTTTTATTTTTGTAATGTTTTATTATTTTGAGAATTTCATACATGAGTAATTATCTACATCACTCCCATCCTCTCCCTCCAAACCCTCCCATGTTCTACCTCCCAAACACATGGTCTCTTCTTTATTATTGTCACACATGTATGTGTACATGTTTATGTTTGTGTGTGTGTGTATGTGTGTGTGTATACACACAGGTATTTATATATACACATACATACACACACAGGTATATAGAGAGAGATATGTACATACACGTATACATAACCTACTGAGTCTATGTGCTCGTGTGTGTGTGTGTGTGTGTGTGTGTGTGTGTGTGTGTGTGTATCCAAGGCTGACCACCTGAGATCAGACAACCTCTGCAGGAGCTCATCCCTGAAGGAAACTGACTCTCCCTCTCAGTGGTCACTGACCACCTATAGCTCTTTTTCTAGGAGTGGGATGGTTCCCTTTTTAAAACAGCACCTTCAACAGTCGGGGACCTGCCACCCAGCTCCCAAATAAACACAGAAACTTATTATTACTTATGAATGCCTGACCGGCCTTAACTTGGTTTATTTCTAGCCAGCTTTTCTTAACTGAAATTATCCTGTCTTTCTTTTGCCTGGGTTTTTTATCTTTCTCTATTCTGTATATCTTTCTTCTTTCTCCATGACTTACTGTGTAGCTGGGTGGCTGGTCCCTGGAGTCCTCCTCTCCTCCTCTTTCTTGCTCCTCAATCTTCTCTTCCCAGTTTTCTCCTTCTATTTATACTCTCTGCCTGCCAGCCCCACCTATCCTTTCTCTTGCCTTGCTATTGGCCGTTCAGCTCTTTATTAGACCAATCAGATGTTTTAGACAAGCACAGCAACACAGCTTCACAGAGTTAAACAAATGCAACATAAAAGAATGCAGCACATCTTTGCATCATTAAACAAATGTTCCAGAGCATAAACAAATGTAACACATCTTAAATATTCCACAACATCTATGAGTTCAAGACCAGCCTGGTCTACATAGTGAATTCCAGGCTAGTGGGGTTAAATAATGAGACCCTGTCTCAAACAACAACCAACAAAAAACAACTGGGTCTTTTGGTCAGCCAGGTGTGGTGGCACATGACTATAATTCAAAACTCAGGAAACCGAGACAGGAAAAATTCAGAGGTGAAGGCTAGCCTGGGCTAAACAGGGACAGCCTGTAAGGAAAAGAAGGGAAAGGGAAAGCAGAAATGAGGAAGGGGAGGGGAAGGCAGGGGCTAGGGAAGGAAGAATGGGGAAGGGGAAGGCAGGGGCTAGGGAAGGAAGAATGGGGAAGGGGAAGGAAGGGGCTAGGGAAGGAAGAATGGGGAAGGGGAAGGGGAAGGAAGGGGCTAGGGAAGGAAGAATGGGGAAGAGGAAGGAAGGGGCTAGGGAAGGAAGAATGGGGGAGGAGAATGAATCAAAGAAAAAGATGAGGGAGAAAAGGATAGAGAGGGGAAGGAAGGGGAGGAAAGGGAAACAGAACGGGAAGGAGGGAGGAAGATAAGGAAAAAGGGGAAGGGGAGGAAAGGTGAAGAGGAAGGAAGAGAAAAAGGAGGGAAGTGGGAAGGAGAAGGGAGGGGAAGAAAGAGACAGGGAAGAGGAAGGAGGTGAAGGAAGATGGAAGGATGGGCGAACAGAGGCAAGAGTGCCACAGGGTCTCCGATTCCCAAGGAGCACCTAGTATGACAACCTGAGGACAGCAGCCATCATCTAGGGGAGAAACAGGATGGAGGAGGAAAGAAAAAGAGCTGGTGAGAGGCCACACCTTCAGCAAAGTCCTCCAGGGTCTCAGTCTCTGAATCAAATGCCAGTGAGGCACAGGGCGCTTTTAAACTGTGTCTCCACACCAGGATTGCTGTCAAACCACTGTTACCGCATAGTGTTACTGTTTCACTCCAAACAGCAGCAGGGAATGTGAACGTTTCCAAGCAAGGACAACCCTCATCAGGAAGGGCTCACATAAAACAAACTAAAATGGGGAGAAATAACTAGAGGGCACAGCCACCCCCCAAAATACACAAAACCCAACAAACACACACACACAAAGGGAGGGAGGGACGGAGGGACGGAGGGACGGAGGGACGGAGGGACGGAGGGACGGAGGGAGGAAGGCACTGCAACATTTCCACAACTCCAAAGATAATGAGACAGACGAAATGCCAGAAAAGGAGCTCAGGGTCCTATTTTTAAAAAGATCAAGGACTACAGAGGGGACTCATGTAAGTAGATGAAAAAAATCAAGGTCTGAATAAGAAAGTAAGGTAGATTAAAAAAAAAAGGGCCATTAATTCAAAAATGAGGAAAAATCAGCAAGGAAACAGATTCTGAAAAAGAACCAAGTTAGAAATGCTGGGAATAAGAGTCCATCAGGCAAACAGAAAACATGGCAGGAAGCATCATCAACAACAAAGACAGAAGAAGAAATGTCATCGGTGCAGAGGGACAGGCTTAAGGCAATGACACACTCAGATATACACAAAAAAACATGTGAGCATGGACAAACCCCCAAGGACTCTGAGGACAGTCAAGAAGCCATGCCCAAGGAGAAGGACTAAGATAAATCTGAAGGCACAAGTCACAAGTGATCTGAAGGTCACTCATTCCACAAAACCATTCCAAGACTTCCCAAACAGAGAGGAGGAAATGGGCCCCAAACACAAAGGGCATTAGACTCCAAACAGACACCTCCAGAGAATGCCCAGCCATCTCACAGTCGATGTGTTGAAAACACAAAGCAGAGAAACAATACTACAGAGGGAAAAGGGTCTAAGGTGCAGCTCAGAGGGAGGGCACTTGCCTGCTACGCACAGCACTGGTTCAGCCTCCAGCATCTGAAATAAGGTAAGCTCTAAGGGGAAACACCAACACATCTACAAAGGCAAACGCACCCCATCTCCCATCAGCAACCCAAATCAGCACAAGAGCATGGGGCGTGCACTTCACCCCAAAAGTAAACAAATACCAATCAAGAGTGCGTCAGATAGCAAAGCCAGCTTTTAGAAACGGATGGAGAGACAAGGACATTTCAAGACAGTACAAACGGAAGCAACGTGTGACAACCAAGCTACCACTGTGTATAAAATGCACGCGATACACAGAAGACAAAGACAGTCTTCATCACAAGAGCCCAGGAAAGTATCAGTCTCATGTGAGGAAGAGATGACCAAAGGGACGGAGGAATGAGCCAGTCGTGGTCAACAAGGAAACCAGCAAGCCCCTAGGACTAACAAGATGGAACAGTGATCCAACAAAACCGTAAGAAGCAGCAAATCCCTCTCGATATCATCATCAGATGGAAACCTTAATTTATGCAGAGGAGATCTGACATGGTTAAAAACAGATGGAGGCGGGTCAGACAGCTTGGCGGATAAAGGCACTCGGCGGCCTGTGTTTGATTGATCCCTGGAAATCACACAGAGGTAGGAGGAGAGGACGAATGTCACACAAGGTTATCCATTGACCTCCACATGCACAGCATGGCATGTGCGCTCACACACAAATAATAAATAAAAGTTTATAAAACAAGATTCAATTATCTTGGTCTTAGCTAGAAGAATAAGACAAGATAAATAAAAGAACTCAAAGTATCCCTACCTATACTTAAAAGAGCCTGGGCACTAGAAAATTTCTTAGACCTGATAAATACTTTCAGCAATGTAACAAGATTAAAAAAAAAATCAGTAGTATTTCTACTACCAGCAACAAATTTGCTAAGCAAATCATCTTAACGAAAATCTCATTCACAATGGCTTCAAAAACATAAAATACCCAGGAATAAACCTCACCAACGAGGTGAAAGGTCTCTATAATGAAAACTTGAAAACACTGAAGAATGAAATTGAAGAGGACCAGGCAATTGGACAGACCTCCCATGCTCACGGATGGGCAGAATAAACAGTGTAAATGAGTAATATAAAAAATGATGTACCTATTTAATGCAATCTCCATCAAAATTCCAGGGACATTCACAGAACTAAAAAACAATCTTTTAAATTCACAAGGAAGGACAAGGGGTCCCGACACCATGGAAATCCTAAACAGAAGAAGCAATGTTGGATGTTTCACAATGCCTCATCTCAAATCATACTACAGTAACAAAAACTATGCGGCTTCACAAAAGACACATAGGCAGCCAGCAGTGGGTACAATGGAGGTCCCGGAAAGCAGCCCACACAGCTGCGGGCATCTCGTTTTTGAGAACGCTGCCTTTCAGAAACACACACTGGGAATGAGGGCCGCCTTGACAAGTGCTGCTGTTCTGGGAAATGGAGTGGCCTCCACACCTTGCCCTTTTATGCAGAGGACAATTTGATTCAAATTGGATCAAAGACACTAACATAGACCCGAAACTTTGAAACAGGAGGGAAACACATTAGAATACTTCAAGATCCAGGTACAGGCAAGGTATCTCTGAAAAAGATTATTAGCACAGAAAATAATATCAAGAATTGGCAAGGAGTCTCATGAAATAAAAGGTTTCTGCACAGCCAAGGAAACAGGTAGCAGAATGAGGGGGTAGATTTTCTCCCATAGGAAACTTT